TTTACTACCATTAGAAGCAGAAAAATTAGCTTTACAACTTTTGTTAAAGCAAAAAAAAAATTACTTAATAAAAAAAACTTTTATATGTAAGCAAGCCACATTCCTGTACTATAGAAAAAATATATAGATTTCCGATTTTGTTTAGTATAAAATGTCGATCATTTTGTACTCTTTAACTGCGATCTACCAATTAATTGATCTATTTTATGTGATTGGATTAGTTAAAGATACTCCGGAGATACCAAATTATCAATTTTATGTGAGTGAAATCTTATATAGTTACGAAGACCGATAGAAAATAAGAGATTGCAAACTATGACACCTTCATCCGATTAAATACACACAAATTCTGACATCAGCTCCTCATAATATACCTACATTTAAAATAATGTTGGACATCTATTATGATGACTTTGGTACTTTCCGCAATGTTTATCATTCTCTGGATGGGATTTACTTCCAATTTTGTAATATACCGTTATGGTTAAGACAAAAGCTTAAAAATCATTTCATTTTAGGCTTTGTTCTATTTGGCGGAGAGTTTGATGATGTAATGAAACCAATCATCAATGAAATTAAAAATTTAGAAAAAGGAGCTTTATTAAATATTGCAGGTTAGGATATATAGGTAATTGCTGCTCTGGGTGTTATAACTGCCAACCTCTCTCAGGGTAACGATCTTGCTGATACAAAATGCCATAGTGCTAATCAAGGATATAGAAGTTGTTTGGTGTCTAAAGAGCAATTGTGTGATTCTACTTTTGACATTAAGTTAAATGCAAGATATCATCATCTTATAGATAAAAAAATGAGTAAGCTAGAAGAATTAGTACAAGAAAGAGCACCACAAAAAATAATTAATGATTATTGTACTAAACATGGTTCAAGTATATATTATAGTATTTTTAATCAGATAACACGTAACTGGCACTTACAGACTCCACAGGATGTGTATTACGCTGTAGCTAGAAAAGTACAATGGTTATTAGATTATACTTTTTTAATATTAAGTCCAATAGGAAAATCTACCTTTTTAAAATATAGAAAAACTTTGAGACACCATCCAACTAGTATCGTCTCCCTAATCCAGTCAAACACTTAAATAGTTTTATGTTTTCAGATTGTTTGCAGTTGGCAATGATAATGCTGTTTTTTTACGGCGATTTTTATTAACAACACATATTAAAGATGTTGATTTAGATTTGCTACGAAAACATCTTACAACATCAACAAACAAATGACCATCATCTATACAAATTGTAAATAAAATTATTTTGTGCTGGGTAGCCGTCGCAAAAGCATCCCGCTTAAGTTTCAGTTTTACCTTTACTGAGCAAACCTATATGGAATTAAATGAAGCTTTAAAAATTAAACATATTATTCTATTAAAAGTGAGTATCATTCTGCATGACAAAAATTTTATGTTTTTTGTAATACTGTTGTATATATGTACGTATGTATATATATGTGTGGCTTTTGATTTTTTATTAACAATTAGCATATGAGACTCCTGTTGATAAAATTTATTTAAAATTTTTAAAAAATCAAGGTAGTTTTAACAATGAGGAAGGATTTTAATGAGATCTTAAGATGACGATCTCTGATAAGTTAATCTAATTCTAGTAATACAATATAAAATAATTAATATATTATTGTATTTTAGCTTTTTCCAGATAATTTCAACAATTTACCAAACTTGCATATAAATCGACATCATGTTCAAAATGCTCGCAACTTTGGAATACTTGTAAATATCTCTGTAGGAATCAAGAAAGCAGTACATAAAATATTCAAAAGTTCTGTTCCGAAAATGAATTGCAAAAATGTAGAATTTGATCTCATTCAATGGCACAATATACTCCAAACAATTCGTTATCTGATCGACAGAGAAACAGATAGCCACTTTCTACATATTGGGCAAGGTTTTCGAAATTTTACAACAAACCTGTTGCTTCAACCTATATTATCTGATTGGTATATGATACAGAATATTCAAGAAAAAGATACAATTGATATTAGTAAGTACATATATATTAATTTTAATTATTGGAACTCCAGAATAAATAAAAAAGTGAATATAAGTAATAAATTACCTCTATCACATGATTTTGATTTAGTTATTTATCATTAATTAATAATTAATAATAACAAATAATACATACGTACAATAATCATTAAAAAGAAAATAACTTGAACAAATTTGAAAGAGAATAATTTTTACATATGCACAAGTAGGTGGCGTTTTTTCACATACCTCTAATTTCAAGAGCATAATTATAAATTACTAATATTCATATATTTATGAATTCATAAAAGGATTAACTTTTACACTCTTAACATGTGTTCGACATTCTCTTCAATCAAACTATGTTCCTGGAGTTTCTATTTTATTGTTAATAATAACGTAATTCATTATTACAATAGATTCAAATATCATGTCACATGATGATAGAATAAGAAATATCAAAACACGAAAACATCTATCAAAAAGCGAAATCCACCAACTTTCTTTACCTATTAAACTTGATGACGATCTTCAATTTACTTATGATATCATAAGCGTATATGATATTTATATGGGAAAAAGTGCATTTTTAATATATAAAAATGTAGAGTTTTACAAACATATAAGGTATACTCTACTAAACGACGATGGCATAATTGATATGGATATGAATTTGCACTCTGGTGATATAGTGCAAATTTAGGAAGAAAATAGTCTATCATACACTATATTGAGGGGAATATTTACGCATTAATATAATGACAGTGTAGTATATTTATTTATTTGGGTTGATTGGTTGTGAGAATATTCAATACTCAATCCACTTTTTCATTGTCCAGTTTACGAAATACAAACGGCTAGAAACACACAGTGGCACCGGGTCTACCTAATAAGTCTTATCAATAATTTATCGAAGGTCCATTTTGTATACCGCTGTCAATCTACATGCACTTCAAATTCACACAATTCTTCAAATAACCAATACGTTAAAAATGAGTTTTATTATGAGTTAGGGTCCCATAGCCTAGTGGTCTAGGCGTCTAACCCTCCACAGACGAGGTCAACGGTTCGATTATAGCTGGTGGTAATTAATTTAATTAATTATCTCTGTAACCTA